ATTAAGGGTAGGACTTAGGGATAAGAGGGTGCAGACAATGAAATGCAGCTCTAGGATTATGTCCTCACGTCACTGAATATCTGCTTCTGCAAATTTATTTTGTACAGACTCTACACTATGTAACTATGTAGGCTAAAGAACCATGAAATTTGAGATGTTACTCAACTAGAACAGACTGGAGTGTCCGGGAGTAACATGGATACTCCAAGAGAGAGTCTTTACATTATTTAGTAGAGGGCCAATCCTTTATTTTTGAGTCCTTTCCCATTATTCTGAACATGAGAACTTGAACTCAAAATAAAGAACTATGTGCAAATGACTTTTTTTTTCCTAGTTATTTTATGGCTACATTTTAAAAAATTAATAGACTACTTTTTAGAACAATTTTATATTTACAGAAAAAGAGAGTGGAAAGTATACAGTTTTCATACTCCCCCCCCCCCTACACACCCAGTTTCTCCTATTATTAACGTCTCATATTAGTGTGGCACATTTGTTACAATTGATGAACCAACGTGGACACATCGTCACCCAGAGTCCATAGTTTACATTAGGCTCACTCACGGTGTTGTGCATTCAATAGGTTTAGACGAATGTGTAATGACATGGGTCCACCATTACAGTCTTACAGCCTAGTTTCACTGCCCTAGAAATCCTCTGCTCTCTGTCTATTCATCCCTCACTTCCCCGAACCTGACAACCACTAATCTTTTCACTGTCCACATAGTTTCGTCTTTTCCAGGATGTCATATCATAAGAATCATACAGTATGTAGCCCTTTCAGACTAATTTCTTTCACTTAGCAATATACATTTAAGCCTCCTCCATGTTTTCTCATGGCTTGACAGCTCTTTTCTTTTTATCACTGAATAATATCGCATTGTATGGATGTCCCACAGTTTGTTTATCCATTCACCTATTGAAGAACATCTTGGTTGCTTATAAGTTTTGGCAATTATGAATAAAGCTGCTATAGACACCCATGTGCAGGTTTTTGTGTGGATATAAGTCATTTGGGTAAATTCAAATGACTTTTGA